ACTGAGACCGGACTGAGACCGGACTGAGGCCAGACTGAGACCGGACTGAGACCGGACTGAGACAAGACTGAGACCGGACTGAGACCGGACTGAGACCACACTGAGACCGGACTGAGACCACACTGAGACCAGACTGAGACCACACTGAGACCACACTGAGACCGGACTGAGACCGGACTGAGACCACACTGAGACCGGACTGAGATCGGACTGAGACCGGACTGAGGCCAGTCTGAGGCCAGACTGAGACCGGACTGAGGCCGGACTGAGGCCAGACTGAGGCCACACTGAGGCCGGACTGAGGCCGGACTGAGGCCACACTGAGGCCGGACTGAGGCCAGACTGAGACCGGACTGAGACCGGACTGAGGTCAGACTGAGACCGGACTGAGACCAGACTGAGACCAGACTGAGACCAGACTGAGGTCAGACTGAGACCAGACTGAGGTCAGACTGAGACCGGACTGAGACCAGACTGAGGCCAGACTGAGACCGGACTGAGACCGGACTGAGGCCGGACTGAGGCCACACTGAGGCCGGACTGAGGCCGGACTGAGGCCACACTGAGGCCGGACTGAGGCCGGACTGAGGCCACACTGAGGCCGGACTGAGGCCGGACTGAGGCCACACTGAGGCCGGACTGAGGCCGGACTGAGGCCACACTGAGGCCGGACTGAGGCCGGACTGAGGCCACACTGAGGCCGGACTGAGGCCGGACTGAGGCCACACTGAGGCCGGACTGAGGCCGGACTGAGGCCACACTGAGGCCGGACTGAGGCCGGACTGAGGCCACACTGAGGCCGGACTGAGGCCGGACTGAGGCCACACTGAGGCCGGACTGAGGCCGGACTGAGGCCACACTGAGGCCGGACTGAGGCCGGACTGAGGCCACACTGAGGCCGGACTGAGGCCGGACTGAGGCCACACTGAGGCCGGACTGAGGCCGGACTGAGGCCACACTGAGGCCGGACTGAGGCCGGACTGAGGCCACACTGAGGCCGGACTGAGGCCGGACTGAGGCCACACTGAGGCCGGACTGAGGCCGGACTGAGGCCACACTGAGGCCGGACTGAGGCCGGACTGAGGCCACACTGAGGCCGGACTGAGGCCGGACTGAGGCCACACTGAGGCCGGACTGAGGCCGGACTGAGGCCACACTGAGGCCGGACTGAGGCCGGACTGAGACCAGACTGAGGCCAGAATGAGGCCAGACTGGGACCGGACTGGGACTGGACTGGGACTGGACTGGGACAATCAGTACTTATGTTTGTACCTATAACAGACAAAAGAGATAAAACACAAACTGTTTTTTCTGTGCTCAGTGTAACTTTAAGTTTGTTCAACACAAATATGTAAAACATTTCCCGGACATGAACATAGATGAACTACAGCAGGGTTATCAGTCCTCGGTGAAGTGTTTGATTACTGCAGCTGTTGACTTTGGTCCAGATTAAACATGAACTTTGATCAGATTGTCTGTGGGACTTTAATTACACTGGGACGTTTTTAATAAACTGTGTTTGTACATTAAACAGTGTGGACCTGTAGACTGACACTGTTAACCAATTAATAACCAATTAATAGCCAGTTAATAACCAATCAATAATTAATGTGTATAACAGTGTAGTACAGTGTATATTAGTACAATGTATAGTACAGTGTATAGTACAGTGTGTAGTACAGTGTATAGTAGTACAGTAGTAGTACAATGTATAGTACAGTGTATAATTGTACAGTGTGTAGTACAGTGTATATGGTTTCACAATGTGTAGTACAGTGTATAGTAGTACAGTGTGTAGTACAGTGTATAGTAGAGTGTATAGTAGTACAATGTGTAGTACAGTGTGTAGTACAGTGTGTAATACAATGTATAGTACAGTGTATAGTAGTACAATGTATAGTACAGTGTGTATGGTTTCACAATGTGTAGTACAGTGTATAGTAGTACAGTGTGTAGTACAATGTGTAGTACAGTGTATAGTAGTACAGTGTGTAGTACAATGTGTAGTACAGTGTATAGTAGTACAGTGTGTAGTATATGTTCATAATGTGTGAAGTATAGTAGAAGTACATAATCTCAGTACTGAGGTATTTCTGCAGTAAATTTCAGAGGGATATTGTACTTTTACTTGTATTCTTGGTATTATTATTGAAGTATAAGTTTTCAATACCTTAGTTTCTCTGTGAGGATCAACAACATTTATCTGTTTCTATCAATCACTTTATCAATTCCTCATATTTACCTTCAGAGGTCAGAGGTCAAACACCCACAGTCATTCCTGACGTGGACACTTCCTGTATGACAACACACACACGCACACACACACACACACGCACACACACACACACACACACGGGGCCTCCCCTCCCCCCGCTCGTTTCCTCCTGCAGGACAAAGCGGCCACGCTGCTGCTAACGGACACACTCAAACACACCGAAACACAGTGAAACTCAGTCTGCACAGGTACACACGGAACACACACACCGACACACACCGACACACACCGACACACACCGACACACACCGACACACACACACACACACACACACTCCGCTGTATTAAAACATCAAACCGGTTTCAGTCCGAACTGGAAAAAAAGTCAGTTTCCCGTTTCTGCGCTCCGCCAACTTCACCGTCCGTTCTCACACAAACAGCCTCAACACACAGCTGATCACAGTCCGATCCCTGATCGACCGTCTATATAATTATCGATAACCCTCCAACATCTGCAATAACGGAACAAACGTTTTTCCAGATGTGAGAGAGCGGACAAAGACAAGAGATAGAACAGACAGAAAGTGACCGGGACTCCCACAATTCTTCTATGTTTGTGATCAATAATGTCCAGACTGTCTGATCAGTCAGCAATCATCAATATCTGTAAGTATTGATCACTAAATTCAACGTGCACGCGCTGGGACAGCGTTTCTTTCTCTTTTTTTCCGGTGAACTCACCTTCAGGTTGATTTCCTTCATCCTGTCCTGTCTCCTGCTCTCCAGCAGCCGGGACATCCCCTCCGACAGATCAAACCCACCACACCTGATCGATCACCTGCTCAAAGTATAATCAAAAACTAATCTATAACTGATCAGTAATGATCCGGAGGATCGTTGGGTTCTGGTCCGGGAACAGTCCGCAGTCTGATTGTAGGGGGGCGGGGCTTTTCTCTGATTGACAGTTCCTCTCTCTACTTCTGACCAATCACCGCTCAGCCCTTCTCAGCCAATCCATTCACAGCTCGCACCTTATGCCCCGCCTACCAGCATCTGTCAGGAAGCACTTGCTTTTCACGCCGGGGCAGCGAAGTGACCGAGGTGGGTAGAGTCAGTCTCTATGACAACGTGTCAACGTGTCACGTGACGTGCAAGAGCCAATCAGAGAGCTGTAGAAGGTCACGTGAGCGAAAACATTAGATCCGGACATGAGCCATTATCCCCACCCCCCACACCGCGGCACAAGTTACAACAGCAGCTGTGTGACGTGGAACCACCGAGCGCAGACCCCCGCCCGCCCCGCGGAGTCCCGGTGTATGCCGGTAAAAAATAAAACAAACCTCCCTGCTCCTTCATAACGGAATCATAGAGAAACAGAGAGATGTAGAAGTACTGCATCAGATACTCTACTGCAGTAAAGTGTTACTACTGCCGTAACACTTTACGGCAGTAGTTACACTTAGTATTACCGCAGTAGTATTACCACATTGCATTACATCTTGCTTTCAGAATGTTTTTATTTACTCTCAGTGAAGTACATGAAAGTCAAAGTACTCATCTCAATAAATGAATGAATGATTTTATACACTGAAATGATCATGTGATCACATGATAGTAGTAATGATAAAAATACAAATACATATAGCTGCTGCAAAGATTAATGATCATAATAAAGACAGTCAGACTTCATTATTATTAATGCTCCACTATTATGTTTATAGTCTGTAGCTTGTTAGTCTGTTTGTATTTCATTCATTTAAAATCCAAATTTTTTCTGTTTTGATGGATTTTATTTATTTATTTATTCTAATATTTATTATTTTGGAGTGTTGTTCTTTGTTCACTGTAAAACACACTGGCTGCTCTGCCTTTTTAAATACATTATTATTATTTATTTGTATATGTATGTGATAATTCTCTTCTTTTCATCATTAAAATTGTTATTTGTGTTTGTTAATAAATCTTCATGCACATGTGTAAATCCGGTTCTGTTTATTCTTTGTGATGAAAATTTTACCTCCATGTCTGTTTTCATGCTGACTGAAGCCTTGGTATCATCGTCTTGTTGTGGTCATGTCAATAAAGTTCTTTGAATCTGAGATCTTTGATGATATGAACCAAACTAACTTCACCTTATGACTGTTGTCATCATGTTTTATTGAGTTTATTTAAAACCTTCAGTTTAAATGAATGAACAGACTTTATGTCCAGTGACAGATCAGCTGTTTGTTGCTGAAAATATTCACCAACAATGTGAAACCTCAACACTGACATTATACTGCGTACAGTGTGTGTGTGCAGTAGAAGTACTGCCCACTGTGCAGTGTGTACTGACTGCTGCTGCTGACTATCTCCTGAATGAAACATCTGTTCACAGCTGCCTCCTGGTACTGGCTGATACCACTGTTACCAAGACAACCAGCTACAACACTGTGAGGAGGATGGATGTCATCCTGCCGACCTCAGAGGAAACAGGCAAATGACAGCTCCACCTGCTGACAGGTGAGTTAACTACACCTATAACACAGTGAACACTACAACTAACACGAAACTAAAACTAAACTAACATTAAACTAAAAGTAAACATTAAACTAACACTAAACTAATACTTAAGTAGTCTACTCTATGGTAACATATCATTACTTCCACTGAATAAAGAATAAATAAACACAAATAATATATATATTATTATATATAACACACACACACACACACACACACACACACACACACACACACACACACACACACACACACATATAGATAGATACATACACCGGTTTATAGCGTTAATATTTATTCGGCCCGGAGACGTTTCCTTTAAGAAGACTTTCCCTTTAACTCACCTGACGTGACCACACCTGAGCTGAACTTCCGGAGTGTTTCACAACAACAACAACAACAACAGAAAAAGAAGAAGAAAAAGAAGACGAGGAAGAGGAAGAGGAAGAGGGAACGGGAGGTTTAGATCGTCTCGGTCAGTCTTTAATCATGAATCTGTGAAGTCTGGATTAGGTTTAATCTGAGTTTCGTGTGCTCTGTCTCTTTCCACCTCTCTTAGCATGTTAGCATGTTAGCACGGAGCTGTCGGCCTGTTCCACTTTAGTTCGATTATCACTTTATTCTTATCATTGATCACTTACACACACGTGGTCAGTGATAATGATAATGGTGCAGATGATGACGTATGGGCCTATGACTCGATTGTAAAACATTTAAATTCAAGTTTAATTTGTTTAATCACAAACACGTCACAGCCGCCATGTTACAGCCCGAGTGACGTCAAATGCAGAGGGTGGAGCCAAGGCTGATCAGAGAGCTACAGGTGAACTGATCAGATTCAAGTTCGGCGCAATAAACAAGTCTGATCAAAGTCTGATCAGAAGATATAAACTATGGGGATAAATAATCAATCAGACGCCAATCGATTGATCAACAAGAACATTTTGATCATGTTTGTATAGATTTACAGGCGACAGGTCCCATCCACAGGTCACAGGGGTCACTGATGATGAACATCATGTGACCCTCACAGTCACCTGATCTCAGTCCAGGTGAAATATGGGAGATTTAGGAGGTGCTCTCAGTGCTCTCCATCATCATCATCATCATCATCATCATCATCACATGATGGAATATGTTTATGATGATTAGTGTTGAGACTGTGTGTGTGTGTGTGTGTGTGTGGTCTCTGTTTATTTACCACTGATGAACTGTCCTCTGTTCTCTCTAACAGACAGCTGACCCACAGACAGGTGGCAGACAGACAGGTGACCCACAGACAGGTGACAGACAGACAGGTGACAGACAGACAGGTCAGCCTGAGGACAGCCAGCACCGGGATGGAGGACGGTGGAGTGACGATGACGAGACAGACTGAGGGAGAGGAGGAGGAGGTGGTGAGGTCTTATGAGATGGAGCCCAGCACCCTGCCGTGGCCTGGAGACAGACAGACAGGTGGACAGACAGGTGGACAGACAGGTAAAGGTGACAGGATGAGTGTCAGGTCAAGTGAGGCAGCCAGTTGCACAGAAAGTGAGAGAGAGCTGTTGGTGGAAGGAGAGAGGAAGGGGGGGACGAAGGGAGGGGCAGGTGAAGACAAGGGGGTGGGGTTAATAGAAGAGTGGGCGGGGTTGAGGACACACCTGGAAGAGGAGTCAGAGGAGCCTTTAGAGAACCACCTGCCGGAGAAAGCAGCCCAGGTGTTCAGCCCTGCAGTGACTGTTCTCCCCTCCCCCTCCTCGCCCAGAAAGAGTGAGGCATTCTGGGAAATGGAGTCAGAGAAGAGTCCCTTCCTGGGTCCTCGAGGACTCCCCGAGGACTACAACCAACATGGCTACCAGTATGAGTGGACCGAGAACACGACCCCTGCTACATGTAAATATACCTGTCCTCACCTGTCTGTCTCACCTCTTCTCACCTTTCTACCTCCTCCTCCTGTCTCCTCTCGACTGTGTCTCTCAGGGGGGCGGGGTTTAACCTGGGTTTCTCTGACGTAGGCGGGGTTTAACTTGTAGAATAGAATAGAATGCCTTTATGGTCATTGCAGCTGTCATACAGTGATACACACTTGTCCATGCAGGTAAACAGAAGGCAGATGAAAGGTAAATGAATGAAAAAGACTATGACACACGTCGTTTGTCATGTTTCAGTTCGTTACTGTTCATTGGTGTCTCTCTCTCTCAGGTGGGCGGGGCTGTCCCGGTAGGGACATCCTGAAAGTGGGTGTGTCCCTGGTGACATCAGCACTCTTCTTCCCCTTCCTGGTGTGGGGGGGATTTGTGTTCCTGCCCTTTGACGCTCCACTGTTGGACGGCGCCCCCCTCAGGCTCGTCTACACTCTGCGCTGTTCCGTGTTTTCCGCCGCCCCCATCATCCTCGGTGAGTACAACGCCAACAAAGAACAGTCAGCTGACAGAAAACTGACTGTCAGTGAGTATCTCCATGGTGACAGCGTCTCACCTGTCTGTCTCTCAGGTTGGCTCGTCCTGGGCATCACTCGACTCCGGTCAGGTGTGTCTCGGCCTCTGTTTGATGAGGAGGTGAAGGAAGCAAAGGTTCACGAGGTCACTGTTCACCACCGCTTTGTCTCTGACTCCACCTCCCTGTTCCTGATGTACTTCCTGCAGCTGGGCGTCATGGCAATGTACCTGAGCCAGGAGCACCTGAAGCTCGTCCCACTGCTGACTGTCATCTTCGCCTTCGGACGGTGAGTTTAATAAACTGTGTCAAGTTAAAACTCATAAAAGGTGCATTTGTTTTGTATCTCCAGGCCAATTTAAAGTTTATTAAAGGTGTGTTTGTTTGTGTCTCCAGGCCGGTTTGACTTTTCATTTAAATATTTAGTTAATAACTTAGAAAAACAGATGAGTGGTAAGCTGGTTCGTCCAGTGTTTACAGCGGATGTTGCTGCTGACAGGTGGCGTTACCTTGATTAAAAGTTCTTTAAGTTTTTTAAAATTACTTGGAATGATGTAAGAACACTACTCGACAAAATATACAATATTTGTAGACATTTTAATGCAGAAAAGTTACATATTATACCATTAAAGGTGTGTTTGTTTTGTGTTTCAGGGCTGATAATAAGTTTCCATTAAAGGTGTGTTTGTTTTATGTCTCCAGGTTGATTTACTGGGTGGCCGCAGCCTTCGGCAGCAGCATACGTGGTTTCGGTTTCGGCCTCTCCTTCCTGCCGAGTCTCGTGATGATGGTCGCTAACATCTACTTCATCTTCACAGTGGAGGCGGCGGGGTCCATCTTCAGCCTCTCGCCTCCTTCTGCAGAGGCACTGACTCCACCCGCCGGCAAACAGAGGTTCTGGGGATGAGAGCTGATCAGTAATCAGTAACCTTGCTGAACCATTTCTGATCACATTTGTTTTTTTAAAACTTTATTTTTTTATGAACTGAAACATTAGAGCAGAAAAACAGAATAAAAGATCAAATGATTTATAGAAGCCAGGCAGAAACAGGGACCTGGACCACAGACACAGTTCAGCTTAGTCTGGATCTCTTGGGATGATATGGCTTTATTGGGTCTAACAGAGGTCCTGGATCACCTGTGTCATGAAGCTGGCTCTGTTAATTCTGAGTTCAATAATCTGGCTGCCAATGAGTTCATGAGAAGTGATTAATATGACGTTAACACAGTGAAAACTGCAGGTAAATTCAGTTGAAGCAGAGAGTTTTATTCAACACGGTGAAAGAACATGATCACAGAACTAGAACAGAACCAAGAGCTTCAGAATTACAGGAATAATTTCCAAATGTTAAGTTTAGGATATAAATAAATGAAGATCTTTAGAGTGAGAATGTTGTGGTTCATTTTTCTAATAAAAGACAATAAAGGGTTTAGTTTTAGTTTTAAACGCAGCTCTAATCATCACTGTGTAATTAATGATTGTGAGAAACTCTCCTCTGTCTGTTTGAAAACCACAGTTTAAGTGTTTTGTCCCCGTCTGGATCCTGTAGGAATGATGAAGTTAACAGGTTAGCCCTGCAGCATAGGTTGCCAAGGTGATCTACCCTGTTACCACGGTGATCTACCTCGGTCACCATTATACCATCAACCAGCTTCCAGAGATAGATAACTCACTCGTGGTTCAGGCTCCTGGTGTTTGTTTGATTGTTTGTATATGAAGTATAGTTGTAAAACTACTTCCTGTTTATTTCCTATTCAGTCTGTTGTGTTGGTTCATTTTTTAAATGTTTTATTTTGTAAAATCTGTTTTATGACTCTTAAATATTTTATATTTCTGTTATACTTAACACAAGTTTCACATTTCACAGTAAAAGAATGAAACCTGCTCACTTCCTGTCTCCCTCTGTAAATGAAAATTTATACATTTATTTATTTAGATAAATACACAGTAACTCATTAACATAAACACATTAATTCATTTACACACTGTAATTCATCAACATGAACACATTGACACATTGTGTGTGTTTTGCACAGAAAGTGCATAGTGCTAATAATTAAAATCCTATTGTTCTCTTTTGCATAGATTTTCAGGATATTAGTATATTGATTATAGTAGTATTGATATCCATGTTATCGATACTTTTGTATATTTATAGGTTACTCTGGTATGTTTATCTGACCCTAGAAAAGCTAATATCTTGGTGAATAAATAGAAATATAGAATAAATGGATAATGGAATAAATAGAAATAATAGAAATATATGATACAATCAGTTCAAACACTGAGAGACACTGGTTTTATCATATTAGTAGACAACAGTTTTGATATCCAGATATAATGTAACGATGGTCCTGGACTTACTTCATCTGGAACAGCAGGTGGCGCCAATAACCTTTCACATTTGTCCAAAACTAACGACTCTCCGCTTTTATTGTGAAGGAGTCGGCGCGGAAGTGTTATTGTTGTTGGCGGAACGGGCTAACAGGAGCTAACTGGAGCTAACTGGAGCTAAAAGAGCTAACATGACGGAATAAGTGATGGCTGCGGACATCAGTCCAGCAGTAAGTTTCTGTCTGTTTCTCTGATTTTCCCTGGTGTTTGATGGTTCGGCTTATATTTATTGATCTTGTCGAACTTCGCGCCACAAACCTGCCCACAGCGAAACAACCACTGCGCCTGCTCAGTGGCACAGACTGTGTCAATTTAGCTAACGTTAGCTGCCGGGCAGCTAAACGCTGCTTGTTATTGTACTGGTAGCTTTAAGCTAACGGAGCTAACAGAGCTAATGGAGTTAATGGAGCTATCGGAAGCTGCTCATGAGGACTGCTGCTGTGTGGTGGTAATGGAGGGTGAAGTCTGATGAAGCTGGAGGAGGTGGAGATGGTCAGGGTCTCTCTAATGTGTTAACATATCTAACTGATTTGAATCTGTTAAGCAGCACAGACGTTTGACATGGTCACATGATATAAATACACAGCAGCTGACCCGGGTCAGTTAACCAGGGTCAGCTAACCAGGGTTAGTTAACCAGGCACCATAAACTGAGTCTGTGTGAGTTTGTTTGAGTTGTTTAGACTGGATTCTTAAATATCTAATGAGCAAAGACCTGTTTGTCTGTCTGTCTTTAGTATGATTTCCATTTTAACATATGATCACTTCTATTGGTCAGTGAGGTATTGATCATCCTGCTCACTGTGTTTCAGTGGACAAACAGGCGGCGTCCAGCAGGAGAAGATGTCTGTCCCACGCAGTCTAAATCTCTGAGGATGGATGGACAGATGAGCGTCTTCAGACGGGACAGGAAGTCACACACAGTGTCCACACACAGCTCCTCTGAGGATAGAACACCTGCTTCAGGTGACACAGGCGTACAACAAACGTTCAGGTGTGCACCTGATGGAGGCGGAGCCAGATGTTCACTTGTGATGTGTTTGTCTCCATAGGTAGCGGGATAATGGGGGAGGAGGCGGTCGCCATGGAGACCAGCGAGTCCAGTGAGGATGAACTGGGACGACTGGACATCGATCTGGATAGGAAGTCCAAACAGCACAACCTGACGACCAGCAACGTGCGCACCATCCTGCACGTGAGCAACACACACACACACACACACACACACACACACGTAACGTGTCCTATGCTCTACACACAGTGTAAACATGTTCTGTGTCCCGTGTCAGGAGGTGATTACCCATGAGCGTGTGGTGGCCATGATGAAAGCTGCCATCAGAGACACTCAGGACCTTCCCATGTTTGTGAGTCTCCGTGTTGTCTTTGTCCTGCAGCTACTTGAAGCGTCCTCACTGTTTTACACTGTTTCTGTATCATGTCTGTGATGATTCTGTACAAGTTCAATTTAATTGAACTGAAGTCGAACAAAATGTCCTCCTGTCTGTCTGTCCTCCTGTGTGTCTACCTGTCTGTTTATCTGTCTATCTATCTGTCTGTCTACCCGTCTATTTATCTGTCTGTCTACCTGTCTGTCTATCTGTCTGTCTACCTCTCTGTCTGTCTATCTGTCTGTCTACCCGTCTGTTTATCTGTCTGTCTACCTCTCTGTCTGTCTATCTGTCTGTCTGTCCTCCTGTCCTCCTGTCTGTCTACCTGTCTGTCTGTCTGACTCAGTATCTCTGTGTTTTCCACCAGGAGCCTAAGATGACTCGGTCCAGACTGAAACAGGCTGTCCAGCAGGGACAGGTGAACTCCACCTCCCACAATCCTCTCTGCTACTCGATCTAGAGAGATAAACAAGTCTGTTTAACGACTGTGCTCTCCCTGTCTGTCTGTCTGTCTGTCTGTCTGTCTGTCTGTCTGTCTGTCTGTCTGTCTGTCTTTATGGTTACAGCCACTGAACTGGAGTCTGTCAGCAGTGAACACAGTCAAGGTAAACTAGCTGTCCGTCTCTCTGTCTGTCTGACTGTCTGTCTCTCTCTCTGTCTGTCTCTTTTTGAAGGTCTCTGTCTCTCTCTCTCACTATCTGTCTGTCTGTCTCTCTCTCTCTCTCTCTCTGTCTCTCTCTGTCTGTCTGTCTGTCTCTCTTTCTCTCTGACTGTCTGTCTCTCCTGCAGCCTCCTCAGTTTGTGGACATTGATCTCGAGGATGATGAGGACTCGTCAGATGAAGAGTATTGTCCTGATGATGAAGAGGAGGAGGAGGAAGACACAGCTGAGGAGGTGAGTGAATCTTTGACCTTTGACCTGTCCACCTGAGTCCACTCAGGTGTTCTGCTGAGTCGCAGTAGATACCAGAGTTTTCCCTAAAGTGTGTGTGTGTGTGTGTGTGTGTGTGTGTGTGTGTGTGTGTGTGCAGCCCTTCCTCAGTGATGCAGACAGCTTGGCTTCACCTCTGAGGACACATCATGGCTCTCAGCCCAGACTACCAGCAGACCAGAGGACTGAAGGACCCCAGGTACACTGACCTCTGACCCCTACAGGTACCCTGACCTCCTACCTCTTTAAATATCCTCACAGGTGACCTCTGACCTTTCGTTTAGAGACCTCAGGTGATGACCTCCACCGGTGCTCCTCAGCACTTCCTCGCTGCTCCTGCTGAGTCGTCCTTTCTGGAGAGACTGAATGCTGTGGAGGAGGAGCTTGACTGTAGCCCTGCCTACACCTTTGACCAGGTAACACCACCTCCTCAGCCTCTCACCAAGCCCCACCTAACCCTCCACCTGTCTGTCTGACTCCACCTGTCTGTCTCTCAGTCTCTGGACAGGAAAGCTGCTGATGATAATGATGGTGATGACGAAGGATGTTTGGCGTTCCGCACACGCTCCAAACTTCGTCTGGTTAACGTTCCTCTGGGGCAGCTGGAGGCGGAGCTTCTGGCCCCTGACATCACCGCTGACATGTACGACCTGACTGCCACCCAGCGGGAGGAGGACCGTCATTGGACGAAGTGGCTGCAGGGTCTCATGGCCCCCGACAACGAAGGTCAGAGGTCAGGCTGTCAGAAAAAAAGTCTGTCTTATTTCATCTTCCTGTTGCTGCTCGTTAGTGTTCTTCTCTGTTCTTGTGGAACGTTGTCGGTCTCAGTTCAGATTTCATCCTCATGAGGTTTCACCAAAGTCTTATTAGTTCATCGTCGTTTTCTCATGGTGAAGAACTGAACAACTCCTCAGCTGCTCACAAACTACAATTTACAAATCAAACACAGAACTTGGAGTTCCTGGAAAGAGAAATCAGTTTCTGTTTGATGTCAAACGTCACCTCAGACACATCTGATCAGCTCCAGATCAAACTGATCGATGTCATTGTTCTGTAAAGGTGGAGTGTTTCCTCCTGCTCTCAGCTCTAACTAACAGGAAGTGTCAGTCAGTCTGTTTGTTGTTGTTGTTGTTTACATCTCTGTTTGTTTTTTCTCAGAGGAAGCCGATGACGATGACGACCCTGAATACAACTTCCTGGACGACATGGATGAACCTGACCTAGAGGACTACAGGACGGACCGTGCGGTCCAGATCACCAGTAGGTGTCACACACACACACGCTGATCTGTGGAGTCCTCGCTGGTCATTTTCTCACCTGTAAAATGCCGAGCATTGCATTGTGGGAATGTTAACAGGAAGTAGAGTTCATGTCAGACTCACAGACTTACATATAGAGGACAGATTCACACAGACTCAATAAAGTGTGAGACAGTAGATGTAGAGCAGTTTAAAGAGCCGGTACTACGAGGCAGGTTCTGTTCTTCTTCTTCTTCTTGACCTGAACTCAGTGTAAACTCTTCTTCTTCTTCTTCTTCTTCTTCTTTCTCAGAGAGGGAAGTGAACGAGCTGCTGGAGGAGCTCTTTGATACGGTGCGTTGATCTTCAGCAGCTGGAGCTTCTACTGATTCCTGTGAATGATTCTCATCTTCAGAGACGTTGATAGTTTCTATTGTTTACCAATAGCCTGTGTTGTTTACTATCTGTTTGTGTTGTTTACTATCTGTAAACAGCATCATATCACAGCTCAGGCCCATGATCCGATTCATGTTTCTCCACCACAGAGACGTTTCTTCTGAATCTTCATCAGTCAAGTCGTTACATTTTTCCAGATTAGTTTAAACTGAACGAGAACTGTGGATTTGTTTTGTGAGATTATGTGATGTCACTCTGCAGCTCCTGGAGGAGGAGGTGGCAGCTGAGGAGCAGGAGCGGGGGGAGGAACGGGAGGAAGAGGAGGAGCAGGAGGAAGAGGAGGCCCCATCACAGACTGGACCTAAATTCAATGTCCCCCAGGCTTTACGGTAAAACTCCTACACACACACACACACACACACACACACACACACACACACTCTCACACACACAGAATGGAGGTGTAGTCAAAGTTAAGTGTTGAGTGTAGGAAGCGGTTCAGACCCGTGGACACGGTGGCGGCGTGTCGTCCTCCTGTTGGGACGGTGCAGCAGAGAAGTGCTGTGACTGTTTGGGTTGGGAGGAAGAGAAACTGCCTCTGCTGCTGCTTCTTCAAACAGACACATGACGAAGAATGCAGCTGGGGGAGACATCCTCTTTCACTCTCTTGTTTCAGACTGGCCTGTTTCAGGCTCCGCCCCCTTCAGGTCACATATGTCATAACAAAAACGTTCCCATTTTTGAAACCCATCCAAACACAGCTGGGACAGATCAGTGTATTTTACTTACATTTATTTACACCTCATAGGCCACACCTCTCAAGGAGGCGGACCCCGTGTCACTGTTTTCCAACACAGGAGGGGAGAGAACTCAGTAGAACGTCATCATGGACGTCTTCAATGTGTTTTCAGTTTGTTTTTTGCTGTCTGTAGTTTTGAGGCTCCGTTAGCCAGCATGCTAACGGAGCGACGGCGGACAGTCAGAAAACAGTACGAGGCTCTGCAGCAGAGGAGGGCCCTGCAGGACGCAACCAATCATCACCGTGACTACATCAACCTGAAAGACACACCCGGCCCCCAACCCAACACCGCCACACCTGTGTTAGTGCTGCCAAGCCGGGTGTGCTCCACTCTCCACCTGGACTTCACCCAGAAACTGCAGCTGCAGCAGCAGATACAGCAGGTACGTCGGTAGCCATGCTGTTACTCCTCCATCAGTCTGACATCACCTTCCCCTCAGCTGCTTCCTGTTTCTGGAGGTCATGTAGGGACATATTACATTTTTTTCTCTTTAAGTATTCTGTATAGAATCCTCTAGTGTACTAGATGATGTGGAGCTGTCCAGGTCCAGACGCAGCAAATCAGCCTCAAATCCCGATGCTCCCTCCACCTGCTTCACCTGTGGGATGATGATGTTAGGATGCAGGGCCCTTTATACCACATAGAGCTGCATGTCTTCCCCAAACATTACTTTCATCAGTTCATAAAACATTTTCCCAGCAGCACTGTGGAGAGTGAAGCTGCTCTTTACAAACTTCAGGGGCACAACGATGAGAAACGGCGTCCTCTGTGGCGTCTGTGGCAGGACGCCAGGCACCATGATGTGTGTGTGGTCGACTCATGACCAGAGATGTGAACCAGCTCCAGTGATTCCTTCGAGCCTTCAGCTTGTGACTCTGAGCGTGTCTGTCTCTCTCTCTCAGCATGTGCAGCTGCTGACTCAGGTTCATCTGCTGAGTCGCCGTGTCGACGCCCTGAACCATGAAGCCTGCATCACTAAACATTACCTGGTCAGTCAGTGAACAACAACAACAACACAAACACTACCTGAGGCCTGCACAACCAAGCAGGATCTGAGGTCATCGAGGTAACTTCAGGTGTAACTCTGGGGTTTCAGTCCTACGACGGCGGTTCATTTGTTACCGGGGTAAATCACCATGGCAACTGATGCTGAACTCCTGAGCTTCAGAGGATCAGATCAAAACCTGTCAACAGCCAAACTACTGACCAATCAGATCACTGGAAACACGGAGTCATCATTCCTACAGGATCCTGACAGAGAGAAATTTTACAATTAAGTGATCAATAATAACGATCAGTAGATATTTATAGTACAGGTTATCAGGATGGCCAATGTTAGGTTCAGTTAGGCCAGATAACGAAAGGTCATCCTGGGTATGTTGAACTTTTTTCGTAGTGCAGGCCTCAGAGTATCAGTTACCATGGTGATTTACACCGTTACACATCGTAGGACTGAAAGAGTTAAACCTGAAGTTAACTCGATAAACCTCAGATCAAAATCTGTCAACAGCCCAACCACTGACCAATCAGATGACTCTAGATTTCCACTCATCTGATTGGTCAGTAGTCGGGCTGTTGAACCTCACAACGTCATAACCAAATATCTATCCTTCCTCCTCCTCCCTGCTCCCTCCAGGAGGAGTTGCACCAGTTTGCCAGCCGTCAGGAGGAGATGTTTCTCCCCAGCAGCTTCAGTGTGTGTAACCTCCAGGGGGCCCTGGATCTCCTGCAGGAGGTGGAGCAGAGAGAGGAGCCTCCTCCTGCTCCTGCTGCTCCTGCTGTCTCCAGACGCTGGCTCCCAAGGATGACTCCCGCCACCAACAGTGAGGAGGAGAAATCAAAACCTGTCTCATAGTCCTCCTTCTCTAACCTGGTTCTGGTTCTGGTTCTGGTTAAGATTGTGGTTCTTGTTGTGTTCAGGCCACGCCTTCCCTCTGCTGTCCGCCAACACCGCCTGGCTCTTCGCCACCCGGCCCGTCTTCCTCTACCCAGAACTACTTCCTGTCTGCAGCCTGGACCCCGCCCTCCACAGCCAGAACCACAGGAGTGTTTACACCGCAGGAGAAGATGGGTACGTTCACACTACTACACAATGTACACACATGTAAACACACACACACACACACACACACACACACACACACACACACACACATACACACACACAGGTACGGCATCTTTGAGTCTGATATCCAGTTCATAGACCGGTTGATGTTTCAGACTGTCATATTTCCCATGATGCCTCTGTGCAGGCTGATCATTCTGGGTCTGAAGCACTTTGAGGGGGCGGTCCAGTCGGATCAGCTGATCAGCTCCTACCTGCTGTGCAAGAATCGATGGAACTTCAGGAAACATGTCAGAGAGATGAGCAGCCCGAGAGCGCTACCAAACAACGTCATCAAGGTGACATCACGGTGACATCACTGTAACTGCGACGTCACTGTCTGACATCAGTGAATCTTAAAGCAGATGAATCATGTTCTGTCGTGTCACAGGTAAAGGTGTGACAGGTGAAGTAAAACTCTTCTCTTGGTGTTTTCAGATGTTCCTGACGGAGCAAGTCGTCCCCCCCCTGCCGCTCGCCTGCAGCAGAGTTCAGCCAGGAGACCAGCGCCCCCCAGTGGACAGGAACGTCTCCAATATGCCAAACTGGCTTAAGGTCTGACAGACTAAACCATTTCAGATTACAGGATTATTTATTTAGTTAGTTATTTATTTTTTAGGCCTTTATTTTATTAAATTTATTTGATTAATTTAAATTAAGGTACATAACATGTAAACTAATTTTAAGTTTTAAGTTATTTTAAGTTATTTTAAGTTACTTGTTATATTTTGAGGCCTGGCTGAGTGATGTCACTGTCCACTGACATCAGATGATGACATCATCATCAACAGATTTACCAATCGTAGAGCGACAGTTCAGTTCTTGTTTTCACCAGCGGGCGTCAGAGTTCTCAGGGTTCTCTCGGTTCTTTGGGTTCTTTAGTGGGACGTTCCCGGGATTGAACACCTGATATACAGTACCTGGTAACCATAGTAACAGTCACAGGTCACAGCTTTTTACAGACCTGTTGTTGTTGTCTGATCAATAACATGTTAACTAACCTGTCACCAACATTATTACCAATAAGTAAGAAGTGATGTCACCTCAGGTCGTTGGTTGTGACTCTGGTTCTCTGACGTTCTCACCTGTAGAACAGTCAACAGATCATCCACAGGACCCGACTGGACTCCACCTGTTACCCCCCCTCCCTTCCCCCAGGCTGCACCCTCAGGCTCCACCCCTATTGGCTCAAGAAGACGGCCTGCCCACCTCCCCCTCGCCACAGACGCCTCTTCACCCTGGCCCACAATGCATCTCTGCTGCCCCTCGCCAAAGCCCCAGCATACAGACAGGTGGACAGACCAGCAGATCGACAGGCAGACAGACAGGTAGACCTGCAGCCAATCAGCTACCTGTCTCTGTCCCCTCCCAGTGTCACCTTACTCTCTGACTGCCCCACCGCTTCAGGAGCCCATCCATTGACTCCGCCTCCCGTCTGTGGAGCTGTCCCATTGGCTGCGGTTCACCCAGTCCCTGCCCAGTCTGTGTGTACTGACATCATCCAGTCCTGCCTTCCTATTGGCCAGAGCACGCAGCAGAGTGTTTCTAGGCAACAAAACACCACCAACCCCGATATTACAAAACCCATCATGCCTTGTTCAGCTGCCGCCATGAAGCCGAGCTGCTTCCTCCTCCAGATAATGTTGACGCCTCCCACTCTGCCCGCTGCCACCTCCCAGCATGCTCTGAGGCAGCAGCTCCGTGCTCCAATCAGAGAGGTAAAAGAGGAGGCGGAGCAGACCCCCATAATGCCCCGCCCTTTGGTGGAGGAGGAAAGTTCAGCTTCAACATCAACACTGAGCCCACCGTCCGAGGAGGAGGAGAGGAGCAGTGTAGAGACTGAGGGTGAGGAGGAGGCGGGGCAGGAGGAGGTGGAGCGGGAGGACTGGACTATTGTGGGTGTGGTCAGTTTGAATGGAGGAGGTAACACTGGTGGTGAGGAGGAAGAGGGGAGAGGGGGAGGAGGTGCAGGAGGTGGTGGTGGGGAGGAAGCAGGTGGGGGAGGAGAGGGAGAGCAGGGAGGAGAGGGGGAGCAGGGGGGGGAAGAGGAGGGACAGAGAGAGGACGGGGGAGGAGAGAGGGAGGAGGATGGAGAGAAGGATAAGGATGAAGATCAGGACCGACAGGGCGAGGAGGAGGAGGAGGAGGATTTCGATGACCTCACACAGGATGAAGATGAGGAGGAAGTGATGTCATCAGCGTCGGAGGAGTCGGTGCTGTCTGTTCCGGAGTTACAGGTAAACAGGAAGTTCTCCTTCATCAGTCCAGGTGAGCTGATGATGTCATCTCCAACTCTGTTGTCATGGTTACATGGTTACATACCATGAAGCAGCTGACCTCTGACCTTTCAGGAGACCATGAAGCAGCTGATCTCTGACCTTTGACCTTTCAGGAGACCATGAAGCAGCTGACCTGGCTGGCAGCTGAGAGGCGTCTCTGTGCAGATGGAGACTCGGAGGAGGATCACTCCCCAACCTCCCCGGGCTCTCAGGAGGAGGAGGAGGAGGAGGAAGAGGAGGGGCCTAAAGGGGAGGAGTCAGGAGAGGGGAGGAACAGTAAGGCGGGAGGAGACGAGGAGACGCCGTCAGGAGAGGGGACGCCCAGAGGAGGAGGAGGGAGGTGTCCTGGACGAGGACGAGGTAAGAAGTTGCTCTGCTGTGTCTCTGCACTAAATGGCTCCTGATGCGGTTTTTTCCCTGAGCTCTCTGTCTCCGCAGGTCGAAGCCGACCTCTTCGCGGCCTCAGGAGGAGTCGTCAGGAGCGTCGCAGCAAAGACGCCACGAAACTGCTGCTGCTGTTCGACGAAAACATCCTGGACAACGACCCGCACCGAGAGAGCAAGGATGTGGCGTTTGCCCAGAGCTACCTGAGCCGGGTGAGAGGGGGGAGAGCGCCACTATCCCGGATGGGGAGGCGCCGAGCTGCGTTAACCTGTGTGTTACTGTGTGTCCACAGGTGCGTGAGGCGCTGCAGGACGTACCTGGGCAGGTGGAAGAGTTTGTGTCTCTGCTCAATGAGTTCGAGCAGGTGGGAGAAGGGCGGGAAGTGGTGTTGCTGTTCAGAAAGCTGCGATGCATCCTGGGTGATCGGACAGACCTCCTCCGAGACTTTGCCGCATTCCTGCATCCTGAACAGGCGCTGCAGTGTGGACTGGTGAGCACAGGTGGACACCGGGTCAACACCTGGTACAGACCAGGTGTATCATTGCAGGATCTCAGGTGGATCTAAAATAAATCGATCTTCTGGTCAATAGTTTCTCTGGTTTTCATAAATCTGGAGGTCGATCTTTCCTCAGTACGTTCACCTGAATGTTGTGGTTCAGACCGTCTCAGGTGATCCCATCACGTCACGTCAGTTAACACCTGGCAAATATGCGTCTCGAGTGACCGCCTGTGATCGGACCTCACCTCCCCGCCCTAGATGCAAATACACGTGTACATCACTTCCGTTTACAAAGACCAAATGCGTCGTCGTTTTCGGTTACGTTACGATTCTTCCAGTCGTTGCTGTATCGTCTCCTTGGCCCAGATTGAAATCAGGGTTTCCTGGGTTCTCCCTCCGCCGCTGTCCAGTTGGACGGTTTGCTGCTGTAGCAGCCTCCCTGTAGCCTGTTGTCACGCTTTATTATAACGAGGTTTACGACGTCAGTGGAGTGGGCGGTGCTTCAATGTGGCCGGGACGCATTTGTGTTCACACTGCAAAAGACGCGGTCCAGAACATGTCTGAGCGTGGTCGGAATGATTGGATCTCAAATGCGTCCTGAATGCGTCTCGGATGTGTTCGTACCTGAACTTAGAGCTGACCACTTCATATCACCTGAGACGGATGTTAATACCAGGTGTGGACAGGTGTCAACAGGTGTGGATAGGTGTGGATAGGTCCTATCAGAGGGACAGACTGAAAAAAGCCTCAGCACACTGATCTGAGACCAGTTTGTGTTTGTTGAAGAGACATTATCACAAGATGTGAGATGAGTTTACTCTTGAGTTCACATCTGTCTTTGTGAATTGAAATAGAACAGAACAGTGTATGTGATCCACAGTGATTATTGATTATCTATTGGCGCCGGTGTAACTCTGTCGTGTGTTTGTAGTTGGAGGAGCAGCAGGCGTTTGAACGCAGCCGCCGTTTCCTGCGACAGTTGGAGATCAGTTTTGGAGATAATCCGTCACATTATCAGAAGATCATCAAAGCTCTTCAGACTGGTCCGGACCTGAGTCCAACCAGCATCCATGAGGTACAACTGATTAACCTTTATCAATAACTGGTAAAGTAACTGTCAAATATAACATGAAGTTATTGACCAGCAGTTTGTTAAAGTTATTGATCAGCTATTTAAGTTATTGATTAACTCTTTATCAGTAAAATCAGCCATTCTCTTTGTTTTCAGCTGAAAGCTCAGATGGCCACGCTGCTAAAAGGCCACACCCATCTACAAGCTGAATTCTGGGTATTTTTTGATGAGCTCCGCCCCCCTCCGGCCCGTCCCAGACAGTTTGAAGAAGCTCATTGGCCAGAGGAGGGAGGGGGCGGGTCAGATTGCGGAGATGGTGTCGGCCAGGTGTCAGGAGGCGGAGTCACTGGTGGCTTTGAGGAAGTGACGCTCCCAGAGCTTGAAGAGGAAGAGGAAGGTCATAAAATCCAACCAATGACAAGCCGGCGCCAGAGGAGGAAGATGAACGCCCACAGAAACTACAAGGTGTGAGAAAACCTTTAGTGAACTTTCAGTCATGTACTTCTTCTCACACTGGCTGCATTTAATCTGTTCTGACGATGTTTGACGTTTGCAGGACTGTGATTGGTCGGACAAAGAGTGGCCCTGTCCGTGTCGTGATGCAAAGATCAGCAGACACAGGAGGAAAGGATGCTCTCGCTGCCACGGCAACAAGGTCGGTCCTCCATGTTTTATCAGGTGTGAATCAGTGACAGATGGAGCACCTGACTCACCTGTTCATTTCACCTCCAGACCTCAGGGGGCGTGTCCAGAGCAATGAAGAGCCTGGACCCTCTGTACTCTCAGATAAGCTCCGCCCCCGGAGAAGCAGGTGACCTGGACCTGAAGGGGGACGATGACAGTCCACAGCCAGGTGTGTAACAGATCGCTCTCCGTGGTTAACAGACAGGTGTGTTCATTTTTTAAACAATTGTATTTGCATCAACAGATCGAAGCGGTGCATCATGGGAAGGCTCGTTCCCTCTGACTGATGAGAAGGAGGAGGAGGAGGAGCTGGACGATGAGGAGGACGATGAAGATGAGGAGGAGAGGAGGAACATTGACAAGGAGCACAGCCCAGCAGTGAAGAGGAGCAGGAGGGAGGAGGCTCCACAACCCCCGTCTTTCATCCCCACCTCCTCCACTGTCTCTACCTCCACCTCCTCCACCTCCTCCTCTGTCACTTCCACCTCCACCTCCTCCTCTGTCACTTCCTCCTCCCCCTCCACCTCCACCTCTGTTACTTCCTCCTCTTCCATCTCCTCTCTTCCCTCCTCCACCTCCACCTCCTCCTCTTTTACCCCCTCCTCCTCCACCTCTGTCTCTTCCTCCTCCGGCTCCACCTCCTCCTCTTTTACCCCCTCCACTTCCACCTCCTCCTCTGTTACCTCCTCCACTTCCACCTCCTCCTCTGTTACCTCCTCCACTTCTTCTGTCACCTCCTCTCTCTCCTTTCCCTCTGTGGGCACCTCCTCTTCCTCCCTGTCTGCCTGCACCTCCTCCATCACCTCCCCCTGCACCTCTTCCATCTCTCCCTCTGCCTCCTCCACCTCCTCCTCCTCTGCTCCTCCTCGGCCCAGTCCTCCTCCCGACCCCCCCGTCTGTGCCAAGAACATTTCTCTGACAGCGAGTGGAGAGAAGGTCATCCTGTGGACCAGGTACACCTCCTGCTGCCGAACCTCCTGCTGCCGAACCTCCTGCTGCCGAACCTCCTGCTGCACCTCCTCTTTAACCTTGTTGTGTTTTCACAGAGAAGCGGATCGAGTCATCCTGACAACGTGTCAGCAGGAAGGAGCCAATCAGAACACGTTCCAGTCCATCTCTACTCTGCTCGGCAACAAGACCTCCAGTGAGGTGATGGGCTTTTTAATCTTCTGTTGCTTCTGTGATTGACTGTGATTGGTCCATTTTTTAATTTTGTATTAAAGGACAGAAGAAGAACTTTGCCTCATGTTGAGATTTTCATCAAGTTTCCTCGTATCTCCAGGTGTCTCGGAGGTTTCGGGATTTGATGCGTTTGTTTCGGACGGCGGCTCGTCAAACCAGCTCTGAGGACGAAGCTCCACCCACTGAGCCAGCAGTAGCCGATGAGGAAGAAGACTGACTGACACTGACCAATCAGAAGAGCTGAAAAAATGAAGTTTGTATTTTGAGGACTTTTATTGTGAAAGGGATGTACATGAGAAGAAAAATGTAAATATTTTCAGATTATTTAATGTTTTTGTAAAAAGTTTTTTTTTTTTTTTTTTTTTTTTTTTTTTTAAATAAAACATTTTTTCATGACAGTCTGTCTGCTGTCCTGAATCAGACCACATCATTTTTCAGAATAAAAGCTCGACAAGTGTTGTTCCTGTAGCTCTGTGACTCAGTGACTCACCTGCTGACACAAAACACAGGTGTGACAGGAAACACTCAACACACAACCCTGACTTTCATCCTCCAACCTGATCAACAGTTCACACATCATCAATAATCAGTGATGTGATGATGATCGATCATCACCTGTTCAACAGTTTAAACAATGTGTCAGACTTTTAATTTGAAAGTTCAGAGTAGGAAAGTTGAAAGTGAATCTTTTTAGATAAAAACATTTATGACTCGAACTTTGAAATAACTCAAGACTGACATAAACACACCTTTTGCAGGTAAGTACAGGCTCAGTTTCCTGTTTCTCAGTGTTACAAAATAAAAGCAGCAGTTTGATCTCATTTGTAGATTTTAGTTGTAAAACCAGTTAACAACAGGTGTATCATCAGGAGGCTAAGGGGGGGTGGGACTATTGTGATGGATAGGGGGGCGGAGTCATCCCTGTGCTCTCTCTCCAGTTTCGGGGTCAACGTCATCGTCGAGCTCTGAAACAGGAAGAAAAAAACAAACAAATGTATCATGACACGTATCACTACGACCTGCAAGGTGAGGGTCAGCTGCTCTTTAATGAGTCTACACCTGCGTCACCTTCAGACTTATCTAAAGGTGTAAGATCTAAATGTCCACATGTTGTCGTGACAACAATTGTAACGAGTTGCTTTTTAGTGAAATGCTCTGAGTGAATTTAGATTTCCACTTGTAAGCAGTTACACAGTGTACATGACTAGGGCTTTTATTGTGAAAGGTAAGAGTGGAGGCAGTCAAAGTGCTCGCCACTTTGGTTCAGACCAGGGAGCTTGAACAACATTAACTGACAGGTGACCTCACCTGCTCAAACTGTGGTTCCTCTCACTGTGACCTTTCAAAATAAAAGCACAATCTAAAAAGTGATCACTTGCCTTCAGCAAATGATTGTTCAGAACAACAAAGAGCCTGACTACACGTCTCACCCATACAGTCCTCAGCTCTGCTCTCTGGGTTCTGCTGGTTCCGTGGGTTCTCTGGGTTCTCTGCAGCAGGAGGTTCCTCCTCCATGTGAATATCTGTGTGAGAGTGAGAGTTTGGTTCAGACTGAACGGGACGTCATCTTCATGAACGTGGCTTTAATTTGAGACTGTGGAGTCGAAGTGTGTTTCTCTCCTGAAGCTTCAGACTGAGAGAAATGATCTTTAGTCTCTGAGCAGCTTCATGAGGAAAGGAGCTTCACTGTTTCCTCTCTCATCTCCTTTAGGAAACACTGGAGCTTCCTTTACTGAAGGAAAGGAGACATGCCGTCCCACAATTCCTTGCTGCAGCAGCATTTAAAACCACAGCAGAGCCACATAAATGTAGAAACTCAGATCCATAAATATAGATTTATTCTCTTTAAATCAGTCAGGAGTCATCATGAAGAACAAGCTGATGAATTTAAATTTAATATCATCGTCATCAATAAATAAATAAATAAATAGTCTATATATTAATGATCTTTCACTAAATCTCCCTGTGTGTAAAGACATAAATATGAAGTTCAGTCAGATTATTTTCCTGAGTCCTGATGAATTCTCCTTCACGTCTTTGACCTCATGACGTTTTCCATTGAGGTCGAGGAGACGAGGTCAGAGAGGAGGTCATTTACACTTCTCCACCTCAGCCCAGGTGTAAATGAAAACACCTGGGTGGAGCCTCGTTAGGTGAAGTATGAGCACGTGCTGTTGGTGTGATGGTGCTCAGAGTCGCCATCACAGGTGTGAATGTGAAACCGTTCTTCTGCCACCAAGCAAAAGAAAAACAGTCCAACAACCTCAGGTCACATATCTCCATTATTGTCACTGATATTTCTTATGTTTATTTTTGTCGTATGTCGATCTGCCGTCACAGAGTCAGAGGAAGAACTGGATCTAAAAACAGTTGATGAACTAAGAGACTTCCTGTCTGGAGTTATCGGACAGTTCAGAGGAAGCACAAAAGGTAAATACACCAAAGACACAAAAGTGGGGACTTCCTTTGTCACTGAATGACTGACTGATCATAGTTCCACCATTGGTCAGCAAAATGCCATGTGACTGAGTTCATTCAATCTGAACTGCTGGAAAACCAGTTACACAAAACACCTTAAGTTAAGATTTTCCTTAAAATAAAACCAGTTACACAAAAACACCCTTACCTGTTCTCCTCAGTGTTTCCTTAAAGTGTTCACTTAAGTGTTTTAGGTTTTCTCCTGATCTTAGTCTTATACTTAATGAATCACTTTAAGTCAGTTAAACCGTAAAAGACCTTAGTGACCGAACTAAGGAAAAAACCTGAAGCTTCCTGTGATTGTATCTGAACTCAACATGTCTGATTGATGTTTAGAATTAGACGAACGTCCCAACAAGAGTTTGAGCCTGATGGAGCCTCAACCTGAGGAATTGATTTGTTGATTTCTCTCTGTAGATTTGATCGGCATCAGTTTCTGATCCGATCACTCCTCTTTCCTCAGCGGTGTCTTCAGCTCCTCTGCAGTTAATGATCACTCTGTGGTTTGATGCTGCGGGGTCTTTACAGTCAGTCCTTGGTGAAGTATTTCCTGTCGATCGATCAGCTGTCAGCCGTGACGTTTTGTTTTATTCTTCCAGAAGTTTCATCTTTTCTTTCTCTGACCAGTTTGGTTTTCTTGCCTTTTTTTCTTCTGGCCGACATTGTGAGACGATATAGTCTCCATGGCAACAGTAGAATGTTACCGCTGTAAAATCTCTTTAACTGCTGCAAATGTCTTAAAGTTTTATCTTAACTGAGGAAACCTTTTAAGAGATTCTGTGCAACAACCTTAAGTGACTCCCTCAGCTGAGGAGAAACTCAACCTTAAGTGTCAGACTTAAGTAGAAAAGGTCAGCTGATGGACACCTGATGGGAACATGGCGTCCATCTTCACACCCCAGTGACTCCTGAGAAATGTGATATTCACTGAATTACACTCTGGACCACAAACAGCTTCACCATCAAAGACTGAGTGAAGTGAAGTGAAAGTTTGAGGCTTTACCTGAACTTTCAACCCTCTGTCACTGGTCTTCAGTTTCTATATTCATCAGTAAAGTGACACGTCACCTGGCGCCAGGTTGACACTCACCTGCGGCCGCCGCTGATTGGTTGTAAGGACCTACGCTGGAGAGAGGCGGAAGGGACTGTGAGCAGACCGTGCTGATTGGCTGGTTGGATGTGGGCGGGCCAATGTTGTTCCAGTATGAACCAATAGGAGAAGAGGCTGCCGCTGACAGGGCTGTTCAACAGGAAACAGGAAGTGGAGAAAGGTCAGAGGTCGGTCAATTTTATCCAACTTTCACTGGCGCAACACAATGTCACCGTGTCACCGTGTCACATGACTTTAATGTGCTTTTTAATCCGGTTAAAATGAACCCCGGTTGGTTTTCCCTCTCGGTACGATTCGTTTGTGCAGGTGTGAAACAGTAATCGCTCTCAGGTGAAGAAACAATCGCACTTCTGAGGGCGTGGTCTCGGCCCAGTCCCAGAGAGAGTTCTGACCTGGATCCCACCCCAGCAGCAGGTGAACTCACAAATTGGAGCTCGACGGTTCCCATAACCTTCTTCCTTCCTTCCTTTCCTGCTGCGGACAATCTGGCCAATCAGAGGAGGGAACGTTCTCACCTGGTTTGCATTGATGCGTTTCATTTCACTTGAATTTAGTTTATAAACTCATCAACTGAATCAGACCAGAAACAAACCAACTTCAAAACATCCTGAAAACCTCACGGCGCTTTCAGGTGCTGCAGCGTCTCCTCCGGCTGAATCACCATCTGTGACCTCAGAGCTTTGTCCTGATTGGCCGGAGGCTTCACTTTAAGCTGTGTGTAATAATCTGAACCCACACACTGAAAGAGGAGTTTTAAAACACATCCAGTTTGTAGAATCAGTTTGAAGTTTAATGACCTGTTCGTTAACAGACAGTCCAGCTGTTTTTACACCTGAACACACTGACCGTAGGTTTGCTTGCGGAGCTTCCTGAATGGACAGTTTTCTCGGAGGCGCAGCAGACACGACTTCCTCCTCACAGACAGAGACTCCATGAAGAAGAGTCAGTTTAACCCTTCACACCCCGAACGTGTTGAGTCTGTAGAGACGAGCTGCGTTCTTCAGTCTGAACCTCCTTCAGTCTGTCAAGACTCTAACACATACACCGTGTCAGCAGAGTCTACCTGTACACATCTCTGCACACCTGAGCTTTCAAAATAAAAGTCCTGCCTGCAGTCAAAGCAGCTGAAACAGGAGCTGCTGCCTAAAGAAATGAAAGTGGATTTTACCAGAAAGTCTGACAGTAAAGATTTTTCTACTGTAAACCTTAAATGTTCCTCTTCACTGATGGACACAGATCAGAGTTTATTACACCTGTTGCTTTTCACCCGTTTTTACAGTTCAATGTTTATAAGAAGAAAAACGAGGCTAAAAAGGATTTATAAGATAAAGTCAGACAGAAGGTCGTGAACATCTGTAACACCTGTAGGATTCACCTGACTCACCTGTCAGGTGTGTTGTTGGATTGTATGTGTAATTTATTAATTTCATACACACACAAACATATATTATATATTATATCAGACTAAGACTTGTATTGAAGTAAAAGGAAATAATAATCTTTCTCACACACAGGAAGTCCCATCAGTTACGTCACTTGATGCTAAAACTCATTTCATGTCTTTAACTTGAAGTCTTGGTGCTTTTATTTTGAAGGTAAACTGGCAGTACTTCCTGTCAGTTTGGTGTTTGGTGTCATCTGTCAGTCGGACCGGTTCAACCGGAGGAACAACCGCAGCTTCATGTGACTCAGAACAGACTGATGG